CCCAGCCGCTCGACCCGCCCGACCGCGCCGAGCCCCTCCCCGCCGTTGCCCCCGCGCTGACCTGCGGCTCGGCTTCCATGCAACCGTCGTAATCAGCGCGCGAGATGGAGTGAGAGCGAGCAAGAGAAAGAGAGAGCGGGAGCGAGAGAGAGAAAGAGGGGGAAGAAGAGAGAGACACATGAGTCACAGCCGCGCCGCACCGCAGCAGCCCGTACGCCCCAGCGCCACTTTGCGTCTCCGAGTCGGTCCGGTCCGGTCGCTGGTGTGTGTTTAGGTGCCTCTCCTGTGGAGCGAGTCCGCGGGCCCGGCCGCCTCCTGCACCGGAGCCTGCTCGGCTCAGCCCGGGCTCCGCGCGTCCGGGACGCCAGCGTGTGCGCGACGTGCGCGGCTGTTGAACCCCGGCCGCCCGTGTTTGTGTACTTCTGTGAGCGCGTGTGTGTGCGCGCGAGCGTTTGTGTGTGCTTAGTGAAGTGAAGTTCATCGAGTTCATGGAGTGGAAGGGTTGGTGGCGAAAGCAAGTGTGATATTCAAGAACATGACCGCCACCCGTGAGTGAAGAGGCCCAGCCGGGAGGATCGCGACAGTGTCAGCGGCAAGTGGGCCAGCCAGCAGCAGTGCCACATCGTGGACCCGGGACCCGGACCCGCAGCCCGTCCGGGCGGCCCTTCCGACCGCGTCAGGCCAGGCGGCGCCGCGCCGCGCCACGCCGCACCGCCCGGCCCGGCAGGTCTGCCGGGCGTATCTCTCCCATTCACTTTCTTGGACCACTCGGCCCGCCCAGCTAGGCCTTACTGGGTCACCCGGTGGCTCTGGCCGTCCCAGCAGCAGCCGCAGCAGCCCCAGCGCGTGCCCGGGCCAGCTGACTCGGGTGGCAGCGCCCCCGCCCCTCCCTCCCCCTGCGGGTGCCTCCAGCCGAGGCTCCCCGGCGCCCCGCGCCAGGTGCAGCCCCATGGGCGTGACGCTGGGCGCCGCCGCGACGCTGCTGCCCGCGTCGTCGTGTCCGGCGGGGGGCCGGGCCGGCCCATCTCAGCGTTATCAAAGCCGGGCCATGGTGATAAGGTAGCCGTCGGGCAGCCAGGCAGGCAGCCACTGGCCGGCGAACAGGCGGGATAGATCCAGCTGGCAGTCTCGTGCCGCTCACTCCGACGAGAGCCCCCCCGCGCGCGAGGCTCCTCACGTCGCCGCCCTCGCCGCCCTCGCCGCCACCATGAGGATCACCGTGAGGGGCTGGTGCTGGATCGGCTGCATCGGCGCCGCGCTCGTCGCCCTCGGCGCCGTGCTGGGCTGGCTCCTGTTCCCGTACGTCGTCAACATCGTCATCGGCAAGGTGAGAGGCAAATGGAATGGAGCCCGCTTGGGGCTTGGGTGGTGGAGCCCCCCACCGTCACCTCCCCCGCTGAAGCTCGGTCCGCCGCCCGGTCATTGCCGCCTGCAGCTCGCGTGCACCCGGTGCAATGCGGCGCTCTTTCTCCATGATGTCACCTCCCCTTCCCCGCCCCGCCCCACCGCGCTGTGCTACAGGCGCGAGGATACCAGGCGACCAGACCGTCGTCTGGCCGGCATTTCGACTGCGGCTGCTGCGGTGCCCTTCCGACCGACCCCTTGGCGCGGCCAGCACGCCCCGCACGCCCCGCACGCCCGCCAGCACACGCGCTTGTGTAATTGGCTCCAGCAGCCCGGTGCGGACTCCGGCGGCGGCCCGGAGGACGCCCGCTCGGAGACTTTAACTCGACAGAATGCGCGGCGCTCGCATACTGCCGTCATCGTCATACCTCAACAGCGGCCCCCGATCACCTTCGCCACGACCACCACGACGACGTGGTGCAGGATCGCGGCCGGGCTGGGGGGCAGGCTGGCGTGATTGCAGGCCCGCGTGAGGTCGGCTAGAGCAGTAGGAAGCTTCTCTCTCTCCAAACAACCACCACTGAAAACCCACGGGGATTATCTCAAGATAGGGTTTGCATTATCAATCCGTCACCTCACCTGAAGTTTAAAGATAGGCTGCCGCGCGACCGAGAGGGCGAGGGCGGGGGGCAAGGACCACACGTCCACCAGGTCGCCGATGATAGCGTCTGGTGGTGCCAGGGGGTCGCCCCCCGCTGGGCCGGGCCGGGCCTGACGCCTCACTCTCGTAACGCTCAGCGAGCGGCGCAAGAAAAAGTAAGGGACGCGAGGACAATAACAACAAAAACCTGTTGCGAGGCCTCTGCTGCGGCTGGCTGCGGCTGCCCGTCTCTGTGGCGCCGCCGTGCCGCCGGCAGGGGAGGGGGGGGGGCTCATCGGGCGCGGGGCTGGAGGTCGCGGGGGATGATCCCGCGGCGCGGGACTACCGTGAGGAGGAGAGCCACTCCGCGGCGCTCACCGCGGCCCGCAGCTGGCTCTCATGCATGTTTCATCACATTACCCATGTCGCTGTGGCGACGCGACTGGAAAACGCCGCCGCGGCTGTCGCGGCCGCCGCGGACTCCATGCTGGCGGCCGAGGCGGGGGCGGGGGCGGAGGCGGAGGGTGGAGGGACGCGGGTTCTGCGAGCAGCAGCGCCCCGGGGCCGGGCCAAGGGGGTAAGGGGTGCACGGGGACAGGTTTCAACCAACCACGGGTACCACACTGGTCAGGAGTCGGGTGGTCGAGACCGTCGAGGCCGTGGTGAGCAGCCTACCCGACCACCGATCCGCCGACGGACGAGACGAGACGGGGGGCTCAAGCACGGAGGCAGGGCGAGGGGGCGCCACCGCCACCCTTCTCCAGCCCGCGCGCCAGCCCTAGAGGCAAGCCTATAGATGCGGCTGGGAGATACAGAGATAGGGGATTACCGAGGGATTGCGGGGATCAGTCTGTGTAAGCCCGCGACCTAACCCCTGGCCCCTCCTCCGCCTTCCCGCGCCCCTCTTCTTTTTACCTCGACGCATCTCCATCGCCAGGGAGGTGCTCTCCCCTCTCCAGACTCCAGACCGCCGCCCGCGCGCCGGGGACCGAGGCCGAGGCCAAGAGGGGCGCAGCAACGGGTTGGATAACCGAATCTCACTTGCTAGCCACGCGCTCCTTCCCATTCAATTGTTTTCTCCAACGCTCGAAACGTCGTCGTCGTTTGGGGCGCAGAGCAAGTTGCGCTGCGCAAAGCTTGAGCCCCAGCCCCTGCCCCCTCCCTCTCGCCCGCGGTGGTGACACTCATCGGCAAACAACGCAAATCAAGTCCTCCCCCTCACTGCACTGCACTTGCCATGCCACGACGTCCTTCCCCCCGACAATGTTAGGAATGCGACTCACCCCTGCGCCGCGCGCACTGGACTGCACCCCGCGTCGATGCTCCGCTCACTTCATTACCTCCGCCCCGGGCATGCTCCGGCCGTGGCGAAGCGCAATTGCCGCCGTGATATTACGAACACTCTCTCTCTCTCTCTCTCTCTCGCCCTCCGTGCTCTGCAGTTACACACAAATGCATTACGGGATAGTTTGTAATTTTGTTTGGAAGGATAGGCAGATATACCAATGTAAAACAAGTTCCATTTTTTTATTTATAAATTGATACATCAAATCTCATAAATTATAACGCGAGAGCTATGCCATGAAAAAAATAAAATAATTGGAAAGTCCCTTTACATAACAGAAAATAAATGCAACGAAAAGTTCAGACCATGGGGTTGACTGTCTTTTAAAATTAGAGACTTTTTGTGCATCGGTTGAGTGAGAGTGTGAAATCTACTGTATTCCATGAGCCATACCAGGTGGCTGATTCACACTGCGCACTTTCGTAGTTATACTGTACCGCATGCAGGCGTGCGGGTGGGTTGCCTACTCGCACGGGGCCGTAAGGAGCCGTGGGCCGTGGGCAGCAAGCATAGGCAAACTCGCACGCAACTACGAACGTGCGCGGCGTGAATCTGCCACCTGGTATGTAACATATAGCTCATACACACCTGCACAAACTTGGAAGAAAAATGCCACAATCCAGCTGTTATGAAATATAATCGATGTCTTCTGTAATACTAAAAATATAGCCGTTTAAAAACAAGAACAAAAGAGACAATAAAAAAAATAAGCATTATAAAATATGGACTATTTCATACCCAAGCGCGGGTCTCTTTATCAAAGAACAAACATACCTGAAGGGCACACTGTCCAACGTTCCTAGGCGCTCGCGCGGTAGAGGAGAGAAGAGGAATCGATGACGTGAGGGATATGTTTCAGACTGAACTGAAGTAAACCCGCCTACCAGTTCTTAAGTTCTTTGAAATTTACGAGGGGGAGGGAGGGGGAGTGCCCAATTTTCAATACAAAATAAATAAAACCCAAGAAAAGCGGCGTAAAGCAGGTACATGTATGATATGCCCAGTGCATCAAAAGATAGCGATAAAAAGATAGCAATCAAAAGTTAGCAATAAAAAGATAGTGACATTTTAGTGGTCTCAAACTTCTGTGATGGAGGAGAGGGGCGAACATTTATGAAACTATGAACAAGGTCCCACTGTTCCACAGCTCTATTCAAAATGAATTATTTCTCCTTCTCCTTGTTAATCTTTTTCTTCTGTCCAGTGTCCAGTTCTATATCTGACTCAGTTTCACAATATTACTAGCAGACAAACAGTTGGCCTTTACCTCTTATGGAAATGTTAGATAAGGAGCTATAGAGAGTAGTGATTGAGTATAAATATTAAAATTCATTTAAAATTATAATCATATCACAATGAGCCTTAATTATACAAATAAATAACAAGCCTTACAACAAAGAATAACAGAAACATGATTGAGTATTAAAACTTAATAGTTTCATGTAGGTTATTGAAACAGGTATTCTGTAAGACGTCAGGACAAAAGTAGTAAGAGAGTGTAAGGCATGCATGGGATGCGCTCTAAAAAACGAGAGAGAGATAACAAATACAAGTAGTAACAGTAATACTATGGCTGTAGAAAGCAAGTGAAAAGATAATTTTAAATAAAGATATCATAGGACCGGGCAAGAAACAACAGGACTGAAAATGAAGAAAGTATACAATATGGGACTTAAAGCAACAGGCAGAGATAAACAAATGAAAAAAAAGATCCATTCCACCTTAATTGACCACAGCATACATTAAAAATGCTATAAAAATAACATTACAAGACTAGAATTCAAGTGTATACCCACAATAGGAACCAGTTCCCCTTGAAGCACACAAGTGCATTTATGCAAATTATGGGAACCGTCATACTACTTCACACAAGAATAAATTAGAGCAAATTTTCATGATGAATTTTGGAAAGGGAAGAAGTGATTCTAAGAAGTCAGATGTTAACATGGTCCCAAATTTCACGTTGACTTAATAATTAATCAATTTCTGGTCAATCAATACTGAGCAATGTTTAATAACATTGTAACTAGAAATCCTAAACCCAGCAATGACAAAATATTTATGGCAAGATGACGGAAAGTCTTTAATACTACACAGGAAAAATAGATGGTGAGTATTCATTAAAAATGAATAGACCAAGGGAATAGGTACCTCAATCTTTTCAGTTACAGATGCACATTTACATGTGCATTAAGTGTTAAGCACATACTATATAGAAAGCAATACATCATCGAACATCGAATAGATAACAAATAAAATGACACAAAATTTGTACACTGGAAAATTAAATACTTAATAAAAATTATGCCTGAGTAGTTGCATTCCACATAGGCTCTGCACAAAGTAGACCAGCCTAGTTCATAAAGGAAGAAGAGAGATAATAAATGGCATGGCCAAATTAAGAAAATAATAGAGAAATACACTATACAATTGGATTCAATAAAATCCAATATGTATGCAAGTATGAAATGAATAACTGAAAGTTATGTATTTTGAGGAGATATTTGAAATGTTAATAATTGACTCCAGAAATTTATAAGTGATGTATAAAATCTACTATCCGGATTTCTAATTGAGATTCTTTTGGTTCTAGATAGTAATACTTCTCAACTCATACTAAGCTGACTAAAAATATCACAAATGTTGAACAATAGCAGAAAGCCCAGAAACAGACACACTACACAATAGACGCAACAGACAAGAAAAAAGAGATTTTTGAAGGACAAAAATCTACTTTAAGAGGCAGTGTGATAACATATTTAAAATATAGCACTCAGAGTACTCAGTACTCAGTAACTCATTTCAATTTCATCAAACTCTGTAAAAATGGCAATTTCATTCACTAACAAAGACTGAAACCAGCAGCAATACTTTCGAATAAAACTAGGCTGAGCTTGAATTAGCTGATGCCCCACTAATGGCACTGAACAAAGCCTGGCTGTTTCGCTTGAAACTGCCAAGCTCTTCATCAGGCCACACAGGTTCACCAAACAGTTGGCTCAATTCTTGACAGAGCTTGTGATAATTCTGGCGTAAGACCTCTTGATATTCCTGCTGTTCTGATGTAATAATCTTACTGTTCACTTGTAAGGCAGCATAGCATATTTTAACAAACTCCCTGACCGGACAATAGGACAGTAAATTATTAAAAACACAAAATAAAAACCACTGAACTGAGTGATAGTAAGAAAACTAAAAAAAACAAACCTAAAAACATCTCGAAGGTCCTCAACTTTGTCATCTGGATAAAGTTCCGACTGCCCAGGTTCAAGAAATGCATGAGCATAAGCCAAAGGGCCTGCATTGACTTGAACACACACTGATCCTTGCAAACGTAGTTGTAATTTCTTAGCATCTGTGGGTTTCGAGAGAGCAACTTCTTCCAATTCCAGCACTCTAGCCTGCATCTCATCTAGTGCAACTTCAATAGGGCTATGCTCTTCAACAACAATTTCTATGACTCGAATACGCTTTGTGACATATGGAAATGATTTTTCAGCTGGAAACAAAAAAAAGAAGAGGAAAGTCAGTTTTGGTTTGAACAAACTTATACTACAGTGTGTGTTATGAAAAGAAACAATAACTTGCTTGTTAAGATGGTTCGTCGTTTCCACTGGTCTTGAGGTTGCCCTCTGGCTTTCTTTCCATCTTTGGTGAAAGGAGTTTCAAACATAAATCTGCAGATATCGTGATTTTGCTCAAACTCAGTTTGGCGTTCTTCAAGGTCAGTTTTGTCAAAATATGGTGTTACATGAGTGACTTGGATATGAGCAAGCTTTGGATCAAGTTCAGTAATATCAACAGGTGCTGAGTCAGTCATCATTTTTACGATACCATCTCCAAATTTTGATGTATAAAGGCGCTGTAGCCTTTCAGACACTTCAGCTAATGAAGCAACTTTAGGTTCCTTATAGATATAATCAATGCCACTTTCTTCTTCAAAATAAGCCTGAAGAAAATAATTAAATTAATATTTAATCCAATCTAACAAAATTAAGAAACATCTAGCATATAACCCTAACTAACCTGTCCATAAAAAGTCACTCGATAGTATCTCCCAAGCAGCCTTTTACCTGAACGCATAACCTCGGTAACTTTCAGATATGCTTTACTGAGATTTTGATAGCACTGAGCTAAGGCTGCAAAGTTTCTTTTCTTCTCATGCATAGGGACAATAAGACGATATACTTCTGACAGACATTCATATCTCTCTGCGCGTTCAAGGCATTCTGCACACACTTCTAGTTGTTCCAATAAAGACTGTTCTGTATACTGTACATCTTGCACACCTGAATTTGATAATAAACACAATAATGAGAAATGATGACCAAGCATATGAAATTTAAATGAAATTATTATTTTTTATTGATCTATTACCCACCAGCATCTAGTTTTAAACCAATTTCATCACGAGCAATATTGGAAGATATTTTCTGAAATGCCTCTGCTCCCCAGCTCTGAACATTTTTCAGTTTCAGATATTCAGCCATGAGAGCAGCAATATGTAGTTGACACATTGCAGCCTGATAAAAAATACATATCAGACATACAGTTAAAATCGGTATCCATTTAATTATTATCCCTTCTATTTTTATAAGATAATTTACTTACCTCACTGAAGTTATTATCCCTATTATGGTTACGACTTATACTCTGGAGCCAAGTGTGACGAAGTTCTGGGGTGCTTGCATATGAGTTTGCCAGACTATGTTGCAAAGCAGCAAGCATTTCAGGATCATGGTGATGTTCTCTCATTTGAGCAGTAGCCATCAAAACAGTACGCACCCTCTTGGTTAAGTCTTTCACCTCTGAAGGAAAGCCTACAAAACAAGGAAATTTTAGACTTTACAAAGAAAATCCTAGCTGCAAAACCATTAATTGTTTTGGAAACCTATGACTGTAGATGTACCTGTTCCTTTCATCACTTTATCACTAGTAGCATAACTGTTGATGAGAGAAAGGCTTTCTTGAAATCTAGCATTATTCAATCCTACAATGTTGCCTAACATCTGTGAAACTGAAATAATCATCTAGAAGTAAACAACAGCACAGGTTAAAATTATGTCTAGGATAACTGAAGAACTTCAACCAAAAACAGCATGAAAACAGATACCTGCAAATGCACTCGTGTGATGCCTTTCCCACTAGTAAACTCAAAATTACTGCGCATCAACAAATAAAGAATTGCACAAGCTTCTTGACGAATTGTAGATAGTCTACTATTACAGCATCTTAGTAGCTCATAGCAAAATCGTCCACACAATGATGCATTACCTTCAAAGAGCAGAAAATGAGCATAACTTTAAGAAATAACATTCAGTACCAAAAAATATTTCAGGTATAAATATAATACTCACCTTGGAATAAAACGGCAGAAAAATTGTTTATTAAGGCACGTAGAGCAGCAAAGACATGGCGGAAAAGTGTTTCAGATTGCCCAACTTGCAAAAATGATAGCAGGATATCAAATATCTTATTCATTATTGGATTATCGCCTCTATTTGCAAGAAGAGAATCCCTCATGTGGATGCAGTACTGGCCCAGAGCATCAAGTGTGATAAGACCAACTTCCGTCGCCATGTTGGCTTCCAGTAGAGCCTGATACAAACGAGTTCCTGCATCTGAGTCAGCATTACCTGTGGGGCACACATCAAAGGTGAAAACACGTAATCGAAGAGAAAGAGAATTAGAATTAATAAAACAAATTTCATCTAATTACTTACTTTTTGGAACAAGACTTTCTCTTCCAACACTGTTAGTCCCACTTGTTACAATTATTGTGGTTGTTATGGTTCCTGGACTATTGCAAGAGCTAATTGTGCTGTTTTCATTTACACTAGGATCTGATGAAAAGTCAGGGGGAGCCATTCGAGCAGGTAGTGTCATTGCCTTGGCAGACCCTAATTTACTTGCTGGAACCATTTCACGGCTTGTGTTTGTACTGGTGATATTTTTCCGGCCAGTGTACTTAAAGTGATGCAAACACATTCTGCATTGAAAATAAAAAGGTATAGTTGAATTTAATGTGAATGATAAACCAATACTAGTAGATAGATAAAAGCTCAACATACTCTAGAACTCTAAAGAAATTCAGAAGCTCTGCTGGCTCACAAAGCTGCCACCATGCTATCAGTTGCTCCTCAGACATGTACTTCACCACAAAAAGGAAACAAATCAACAAATCTTTGACCTCTCCTGGTGTTATTTTATCAACACGCAAAGGTTGTGAGGTACTGACAGACCTGCAAACCATAATTACTTCAGTCAGAATTTTCTCAGATACTAGGAAAATTATTATCTATGATCAATCTGTCTTAATCTTATGAAAAGTGAAACTTTTACCTAGAATGAGTCTTCAATGTTTCACCATCCCTTGAACAGTCATCTCTCATTATAGCAGTTTCTTGGGAGGCAGTTGAAACGGCATCACAGGATATGGTTGATGATTCAGATTCTAAGCTGGTAGTCGAACATCCATTCACAAGTCCTAGAAACAAAACAACCCAAAATAAAAATACACTGGCCTGTGCTTCCCCTCATTCATGGGAAATAGAAATTTATTTTTTGTTGATTTACAATTTACCTTGACCGGCAATCACAGCAAAATAGTTTGCATCTCTTAAATATGTGGATGCTCTCAAGCTTGCTCGGGTGTCAAGATGCAATGTAATTCTGCAGAGAGATGTTTAAGAAAAATTATAATATTGTTACTTCTTGGAAACATAGCAGATACAGAAATATATGATGTGAATGATGTGAGGAGAAGTGACAATGAGTTACCTATGCTGAGAAGATCTACTGCTAGTTTCACTGCTGAGGGAATCCGACACAGAATACAAACATGAACCTGTGCTGTTTGACAATCTATTGGTTCGGCCTACATGTGCAGGATCACTTAAAAGATGGACTGCATTTAGTCTATTCAGGTTTTCCAACACAATACCAAGCCAAGGTGCATACAGTGATGCAATTCGGCTCAGCTGGCCCTGTCAATAAAATCAGCATTCATGTCTTGTCATTATGTTAAAAGTTTAAAACAAAAAAATATGTTTATCTCTACATATCGACCATACCTTGTTCTGGTATCGATCATCTAACTCATGTTTAGCCAGAAGATCTCTTAAAACTGAAATGGCCATACGACGAGTATGGACAACTTGGTTTAGAGCAGTACGAACTTCTTGGAGGAGTAAGCCCACTAAGTAATGGAAACGGCAAAAATCTTCACAAAGTATAAAATCTGAGAGCATATCTGTGAACAAAATGGGCTAAGATAAATAACAAACACTAAAATTATACATGACTGATTTAAAAATGAGTCTTACCATTTGTTCTTGATTTACTTGTTCGCTGCAAAGGCAGGTTCAGAGAGACAAAGTGCTCATGTGAGCAAATAATTTGAAGGAAAGTTAGCTTGTAATCGAAAAGAGTTCGAGAATCCTCCGCATTGAAAAGTTCAATGTAAGATTTTATCAACTCAAAGACATATCCTCGATCCATGAGTGTCAGGCATTTCTATAATGACAATGAAAATAATTGTTGATTGTTATGTATAACTTGTTACACACTGTGAAGTTCCAAAACTTGTACAGTGGTAAAAACTTTTGAGAATAAGGAGACCACAAACCTTCAGAAAATGAGCTAGGCTCATGTTCAGCTGTTTGGTTTCCACTGGCACTTCTTTGTACCTTTGAAGATATGGATAGAGTGATTTTAAAAGTTCTTCAATTTTTTTTTGATAGCTCTCAGAGAAGCGTTCATTTCGAACCATCTACAACAAAAGTGCAGTCCATAAGAAATAGTTCCCAAGCGCACTGAAAGCATTTATCATTCATCAATAAATACCTTGATTCGTCCTGAGCTCAACAAATATTGAGCCATACTTTTTGCCATAACTTGAAAGAAAAAATCTGAATGCCTCATAAGTTTGTTCACAGTCAAAAAATCAGTATAGTCAGGCCGTAGGAGAGTGGGTAAGTGGTGGCTCAATTGTCCATGCACTGTGTGGCTTCCGCTGTTTGATGTTGGAGCTACTAATGTATACTAAACAATACAAAAAAAAATGACAGTAATTTCACAAGACAAAATAGAGGATAATTGAGCCAATATTTACAGCCCCTGGTAGACTTACTTTGACATAAACTTTCAAAAGATCTTGACGGCCAGCATCATGAACCATATGAACTATGTTAACCAAAAGTCGAATAATGTTCAGTCCAACATCTTCACTTGAACAATTAACTAACAATGTCAAAAGTTGGTTCAGTATTGTTGGCAGCAAAGACAACACAGCCGACAACTGAACAGCATGGGCAGCCTAAAATTGACAAATACCGTAACATAAGAATAAAACAAGGGTTAGCGAAGGGAGCAAAGAGTAGATAACCAATCAATAGAATAAGATGAAACTAAGATGAAACATAAAATAAGATAAAATATAATATACCTTTAGTATTTGACAAGTTTCAGTTTCTGAAGGACATGCTCTTGCAAGTTTTGGGTCTAAAAGTCTCTCAGCATGCACAAATAAATTATGCAAATGAGGATCTTTGGTCAGCACCGTAGAAACCATTTGAAAATTTACTGTAAAGATGGGTTTTTGCCCATCAACCCAAGTGACATCAGGGCCACTGAACTGAAAAGAGAAATAGAACCATAAATAATTATATCAATATTCATAACAAATTTGCATGGATAGATTTTACATTGCTGCCATTTCATCTAAGCATTAACAAAAAAATCGCTTAGCAGTGCTAAGCACGAGACAAGACTGTTGCACATACAGCTGACATGATGACAAAAGCGTTTAATGGTACATACACAAGAGTGTATGGTATTTCAGCAGTCCATTCACAAGCTCTGCCAACCACCCCTTGCCTATAACTCCCCCATCTAACAATAGCCAAACATGCTCACCTAGAAAGCTAACAGTCTAAATAGTTCCACATAAAAATAAGCACACACACAACAGCATCCACTGAAATGAGCAGCAAAGAAGTTTTTGAACATCATTGTGAGGAAATTGAATGGAATGACCTATGCTTAATCTAGATGTCAAACACAAAATGAAAATATTTAAAAGCAACAATGCAGCATGCTTTACCAGCCCAACAGTATTCCTGGTAAACCTAGCCACCAATCACCAAACTAACACAAGCTACAGACATCAAAGTGTCTATGAAACAGATTGAATAAACCTTCTGTCATAAAACTGCTCAGATAGAAAAAAAATCTGATATGTTATGCTGTTATTGATACATACGTACGGGAGGTTGCAACCAGTCAAATTACTCTAAACTCCTACCAGAACACACAAATAAAATTGGAATCACTTTCTACAACTGCAATATTGAGCAGCTAGGGTAAAGAAAAAGAAATTAGTATTAGCAAGCACTAAACAACTACATCGGAAACTGTAAAATTTACAAAACCTGGTCAAAGGTTTTTTTTGTTTTTTTTTAATACTAGAACAACAAAATTTTAAACATAAAGGGTGAAAAAAATATTTTTGAAAATTCAACCCATCCTAACTCTCTCCAACTAAAATTACAAGAAAACTACGAAAGCAGTTAGAGGATGCAAACACTTACATGTGTTCCCTTTCCTTCATGCGCAGGCTCAGCGTCATTACTCACCCCCTTCCCAAGGCCGAGTGGTTGGATGGCCAAATACCCTGATGGCAAGCCAGCAGCCACAGGTAAAATTTGTTCTTCAACACAAATCCTTTAATTACAACAAACAAACAGAAAAGATATGTTTAAAAAAATGAAAAATACTACATTTAGAGCAAATAAAAATTTTGGTGAGAAAAATCTTACCTTCCCTTGTGTAAGAGAGGCACCCAGGAATAACCTACACAAGTTTCAACGTTCACATCCTTTTTCTTAGTTGTATCACAGGAAATATGATAAAAAGTAAAAAGTAAGTGATGTTTAGGCGTTATCTGAATTGGTAGACGTATTTTGATTTCATCACACCACGTCGGAGTGGTGTTGTGATGGACAATGGAACAGCAGATTTGAGAAACCAGGGATGGTCCGCCAGGTGGACCATATATTGCCTAATGAAAGTTCCAATACAGTATCAGTAATTTTGAAATCAAGATTTTCTGCTATAGATGCTGAAGGAAAAAAATTGCATACTTACACACAAGGGTTTGATATCTTCCTCATCACTATCTCTTAGCTCAACAAAACAAGCTATGTTTCGAGCTCGAGCAAAAGTCTTCTGATTATCAAAGTTAAGACTTTGTGGGTACACATAAAGATGACTCACGAATGAGGTATAGGGATTTACATCACCCTCTGGAAGTGTGCCCTCTAATTCGCACACTTCACGAGTGCAATCATTAGTGGTTGGAATTGGGAAAGGTTTCAGCGCCATTAAATTTGTTGCCAGGCAATCTAAGCAGAAAAAATTATTTTGCATCATCATATTAAAATTTCAAGCTTTCTACTAAATACATATTTTATAACAACTCACTTCCAGGAGGCTCTGCAAGAAGTTCAAGTTGGATTTTAATACAACCAGGTATTACAGTCAATCTGCTCATCTTATCAGCCCTACAAGATTTTTATAATTAGTCACATAAATCAATAGCATAGCTATTTTTGATTAACTCCAAAGATCTGTAAACTTTCATACTTGCGAAAATCTGAGAGAATTTTAATTAGGTCATCATCTCTCAAGCGGTGTCCGTCTTGTCTGTATATGGCAGGAAATTCTGATGTAGTGTCTAGCTCATTACTGTACTGGCGGAAGAGTGGCTTGGCAGACCATGCAAATGGCATTCGATATTTTCCCAATCTGTTTGGAACAGAGCAATCAACATAAAATTCATAGAACAAATCTTTAGCATTTTTTTATTTTAATTTTTTTGCAATGCCAAATTTAGATCCATTCAACTACCTCTGACAGCATGTTTTCACATGTTTCTGTACTTTAAGTCCAAGTTTTGGATCTTTTGTGTTTTTTACATAAGGCTCGGAGGTAGGACACATTCCTCCTTGTAAAACTTTGTCAATTCTCATTACAAGGTATATGTCAGAATGTGGGTAACTGATGTTAAAAAGTGCCTAGAGAAGAAAGAGGACATGAATTATGAACATTTTTCTCCCTTCCCCTTGTAAGAGAACTTTTTCCCCTTATTAAAATTTAGAAAAAGAATTGATACCTGTTTTTGGAAGTGAAGCCAGTCTGGTGACACTTGCTCAAGCTCGGGATATTGTTGCATGAGGGGGTCTATCTCAGGGTTTCCATTTCCATTGCAATTTTCGGAACCAGAAAGCGCATTTGGAAGAATTTGACGGATCTGCTCATCATTTATATCAAAATGGAAGTTCTCAGACAATTTACGCCCAGCTCGTGCATCAAATAAAGCCATTGAAGTGAAGTAGGGTTCCACCTGGACAAAATTAGAACTTTTAAAGAAACAAATAGGCATGAATCATAAGCTGACAATATTTCTCTATTGAGAAAAACACTTACTTGCCCAAGGATGTCATTCTCTCCCTCGATTGGTGCTTGGAGTTTAAACTTGACTTCCTCACACTTTACCAAAAAGCGAAGGCCAAACTTTTCTTTGAAAGGTTCGATATTACTTTCAACAGAACTTAATGCACCTTGTTTTACATGCTGCAGGAAAGACAATGATTTTACAAGAGGAGACCATAAAATCACATTTCAGCACTAGGGAATTCCAGCATAAAAAAACACCCTACCGGCATGTGAGGATAAACACTGAAGAGTCTACGTCGATTCTCTTTTCTTGCATGTGCAATGGACATGTCTGTCTCACGTGAATATTTCATTAACTGGGGGTTCATGCTTTGATCTAAGCCTTTTAAGGTTCCATAAATGGGGAGTTGTTGAGGAGAAGGTGGAGTTGAACTGGCTGGAATTAGAATTAGGTTTAAGTTGGATTGTAAAGTGAAATAGAAAGTTACTGCCCAAAATTCACATGGGATTCCATAATGTCCCATGACAGTTTAGGTGGCTCCATCCAGGGGTTCACCATGGGGGGGTCCATGTAATTTTGGACAAGTGCAGGTTAATGTAAAGGGGTTTCTCTAACAAATGAAAACCAATTTTGACATGTACCTCTTTCAAGTGATCCTGCAGGTTTATCTTCTTGTTGCTTTATGATGTGCAATACTTGTTGTAACTTGCTAAGCCAATCATGAAGTTCGGCCTCTGATTCAGCGGCAAGACAATGGGATTTATGGCCATGAGGCATGCGCAGCTCCATGCAAAAGCGGCCTCTCTTAGGACTCTGTAAGTTAGAGAAGTTAGAACCAACAAGAACAAGACATTGGGAGCAACAAATAAGTGTAACTTACCCGTACAACTTCAGTACAAAAGTCCATGACAATGGTGGCCTTTGCTTCGCCTTTTTTGTCATCTTTGTGTAACTCTAAAATATAAGTGCCATCAACCTCACGTCTGTGAAATGAAGATAAAGTTTTACTTACAAAGTTGAGATTAGATTTACATAATGCTACAGATAAATAAATTTTAAGTTACCTGAGGTAACAGTAACGTCTCTTAAAAGACTTGGAAGCAATATTTCCAAATATTCTATCAGAACCCACTTGAGGGCCTTTAAGCAGATATCCTTGTTTGGTTATACCTTCACTAATTTTATTCACAACACCCTATAAGGTTAAATATAAAATAATTTAGAAACATATTAGAATAGAAAATAGTGCAATGAGATTATTGCAAATAAAGTAGGATGAATATAAAGCCAACCTCATCAACTTGATCAGCATCAGTGTCAACCTCATAGATTTCATCTTTTAATTCATCCACTTTTGGTGCCCTAAAACGTAAAAGAATAAAATATTTGTAAGAAGTAATAAACGAATTTCAAGACAAAAAAAGAGAGGAAAAAATTGGGACTCACTTTGGTAATTCCAAGTAATTTCCTGAATATGCACTGTATTTATAGTGAACTAAATGCCAGTTACTTGAATAACTTTTAAGACACTCTTTGGTCAGCAAATTTTCTCTGCTATCGTATTCTGGTGGAGTAGGTTGAGACACAGTACGATATTTTCTTGGCAAAACAACTTGCTGGAATTAAAACATATTCATAAGGATAGTTAAAAATGCTCAAGGAGTTTTCTACCAGGTAGAAGGCAATCTCTAAGTATAAGGGGAAGAAAGTAACTCACAGAAACATCATCAGACGGGTACACCAGGAGTTCTCGATGTGGATCATTTTGAAGTAGAGTTTTATTTTTAGAAATGTACTCCTCAAAATTGACTGGCTCTACCATGTGTAACTTGTTCTGAAAGTTAAAAATTGTAGACAGGAAAATTAATGTAAATGGATCATTTGAAAGACTTGATAAACAGTAAAGTTTCCTAAAGCCTCAACGTTGTCCAGTTGTAGGCAGACAACGATCATAGAGTAGCAAGTGTCAATCACAAGCAAACTAAGTTGCCAGAGCTAAATATGTAGGTTTGTTTACATACAAGGTCAGGTCAAAGTACAGCACATTTAAGGTACATACATACATTTGGTTTAATTTCTAAGCCAAATGAAATAAGTTCAGAGCAAACATATGAATAAAATGTGAAATGTATCGGAAGTAACTTTTTGAAGAGTGCTGTTATTTTCTTAACATTAGGTTTAGTAATAAGTAGTAAAGGTCTCACCTGCACAGTACTTTCTCTCACCACCTGTGACACAGTTTCTCTCAGCTGAGCAGCCATTCCCGGCTTGCCCAAACCACGGGTAAACTTCCGTTCAGCCATTTTCCTTCGATTTAAAAGATCAAGCAACAAGTGAAGATATTTTGTGGACCATTATAAGTTTGGTAGTCACTTAAGCCCGGGGTTCATGATCGCACGGGTATCAACATCAACAACACCTTCAATGGACAACAACACAACACTGAGAAGAATGGGAACTTTTTTTACTAACAGGCGCAGTCCAAAACTACCAACAGCTAATCCTAAAAGATTAGCGGTGAACCGATAGAAAAATGAAATTAATACACCAAATATCTCTTTTCAGCGCCTTAAAAAACGCTACACCGCACTTAAAAAAAGAGATGCCGCCAAGTCATCCAAAAATAGAATGACAAAGGATATTTTCGACTAACAGCGCAAGTTGCGTTTTCTCTTCATACTAGATTCCGCGGGAGGATTTGTAAATACCGCGGTGCCGCGATCGCAGGACCTTGCAAGATCGAGGCTGGTGCTCTGCTAAGAAAGATTGAGGCATGACAAGTGAGAAAAAAACATGTAAGCAAATGTCTTTATTTTCACAAATAATCCTACAAGAAAAATTATGACTTTTAAAGTCAAAAGATAATAATGGTTTGTCAGACAAGAGAACTGATAAACCAAGTACAAAGATACAATAAAAGGATGACCAGAAATAAATGCCAATGACTAAGAGAAAAACAACACTAGTTTCACACTCTCCTTTGACTAAGAAATAAACATGGGTAAATGCAGGCATATCATCACATACACAGTTCATTATGCAATGGTCAGAACTGCACACTTGTACACATTTAGAATACTTCATTTTGTCTTTGGCTTTATCAGCTTAAGGATCTTAACATCTTAACATCTTAACATCTTAACATATTAACAGATGCATTTTCATTATATTTAGCACTATGGCAATGATTTTTAGTGATGAATGTGTTTAAATTGGTAAAAAGTGTCGACCGGAACATTTAGAAACCTTTGCCATCGCTTCAATTCGATGAAAAGCAGAGATCCGTGGTTTCGCGGGATCTTAACACAACTTTCAAGGAAACCACGAATCATGATTCTATTGGTCGTTGTAGCGATCCCGAACGTTATGGTCGGCATTTTAGCGAATATAAAGACATTCAAATGTAAAACCATAGTCTTACTATCGAATATAATGCAAAATGCACTTGTTTATATGTTAACATGTTAAGATGTTAAGATGTTAAGATCCTTAAGCTGATAAAGCCTTAGAAAAGCTTCCAAGCTGTAAGAAGGAGCCTTGTATTAAAGTTGTCAAGAAGTTTTCAAACAATTTGCACTTTTTATAATCACAAAAAAGGCAGTTACAATTTACTTTTATTAGATTCAAACTGAATCCTGCTAAACTGATTCCAAACTAATGCATACAGACAGAAACAATGTTGTCAAGATCTACAAAATACTGATATCATCTTACATCTCCTCCAAGCACACCTTCATTAAAAAACATTTCCGGTGCTGGATACCTTGTAGTAATCCATTTTTGTGCTGAATTTACAAGAGCAAAGGCCATGAACGCCTAACAATAGTGAGTCAATGAAGTTTTACAAAAGGTCCTGGGCTAAACCAGAACCTGTTATAATTGCAGTGATTTTCATCCTGCCGAGGTGAAATGTGAACACTTCTTATAAAACACTCACTATAATTGAGGGGCAGTGAAATTGCTCTTTTAGTTATTTAAAAAAAAAATAAGAATAAGGGAATTAAATAATCACATATGTATGTAACATTTAAAAACTACAGATTAAAATGTAATTAAAAATCACATGGAAACTTCCCTTATTCCTCCCTTTTTCTTTACTTTTTCTCAAAAAATTACAAGCATCACTAGAAGATAGCAAATATAAGAGCCTACTTTTAAAAAAACCTTCACTTCGAATTAGTCAGCCTTTTGATGTCCAATTTCCTTTTTGCGTTCTTTCTTTTTCAGTGGGTTGGATTTGCAATGCTGATACAAATTATTCAGATCAAATGCAAGCTTGATATTATCCTAGAGGGAAAAAGATAGATGTACCAACAAGAAAAACAAGTCATGAGTCAATAAAATCAGAATGCAGAATTACAAACCTCTGTGAAAAAGAAGCGAATCAGTTTATTGCTAGTGTCAACAGCTGGTCGACGAAGGGTTTCTTTCCCATCTTTGAAGAGGATGACTGTAGGTAACTGTTGTGAACTCGCACCATCATTAATCCTATACTTTTTTGCTGCATCTGGGTAACGTCCTATATCAATCTTTCCAAACTGCAAATTGTCTAAGTGATACCTAAAACATCAAATAATTTCAAATAATAAAGGTGATAAGAAAAATTTATGCCATGGAAGAAACAAATCTTTCTCACATGCCTATACACTGGATAACAATATAGGTATTGTGAAACTTACTCATGTGATATCTGGGCAAAGACAGGAGCAAAATTAACACAAGCTGGATTCCATGCAGTGTAGAAAGTAACCAGCCAGGTCACTTTCTTGTCACGTTCTAACTCTTCATCAAGACCAGCTACAGTTCGGAAGTATGTAATACTTTCAGGTCCAGAGTATGTCGGCTCAGGCAACAACAATGAAAACACTGGAAATAATAATGAAAAGATTAACATTAGTACTGCAGTGATGCAAATAATATTTGACTGATAAACTTTAGATAACTTTGTAAGAGAAATTAAGATAAAAAGGAATAACTCACAGACAAACAAAATTCCATATCCAATGCCCATGCGAACATCAGCATAAAACCATAAAATTACATTTGCCACTTTGGCATAAATGAAACTTGAAGACAAATAGTTAATCATTGTCACACTTCCTGCTTTTCTTGTTCTCAACATTACAACAATCATCAGAAAGAATAGAATTTCTGATTCTCTCTGAAATCAGAAACAGAAAATAACATTATTCAAGAATTTTGGCACAGTATTCAAGCATAGAGGGACAATATCCGTAAAATTCATTCAATTCTATTGAAATCTTATCCCTTCCAATACTAATTCATTCATATGTTAAGGACTACACAACGAGAAAGATTTGTTGAGAAGTTAGTGTTGATGTATTGTACTTACAGAATCCAGTTCACATTCTGCTGCAGGGAATACTAATGTACAGAGAAAGGGGAGCTTCTTTGCAGTCACATAGGACAGACTTAGTAATATATTAACCCAATAAAAGGGTTGAAGCAACAAATGTAAATCCTTCTTGAAGGACATTTTCACAGAGAACAAATTAATTAAAACTAACTGCTCTTTTCCTGTCTTTTGAGAACGTCTGCTACTAACCAAACTTCAACAACCTTTAACACAGCCTTCTAGTCACAGTGGACACAACCACCAACATAAGCAGCCGAATTTTTTTTTTAAACGCAAAGCTGAGTACAAGTTTGGTTGTTAATCAGAATTCTTTACAAAACTTAACGTTTTGAGATAAAGATTAGAAATTTATATCAAATAAATGTTGTGTTATATGTGATTTTAAGAAAAATATTCAATTGTCAGTTGTTGGCATGCTTGACGCGCGTATTTGAAAGAGAGATTGGAAACGAACACAAAAAATCTCAAAAAACTGTCGCTTGTATTTGAGGTTCTTTTGTGACACTTTTTGTGAGGGGAATGCATGTTTTATAGCATCAAAGAAGACGAAAAATTAATTTCAAGGGATGATCGATGCAAAAAACTGTTCTTTAGAGGGAAACGGATCCATTCGCTAGACTCGCCATCCCCTTCCCCTTCTCCCTTCTCCTCTCTCACCCCCACCATTCTCTCCCCCTTTTCTTTCTCACCCCCTCTCCTCATGTCCGAAGACCCGAAGGAAGGCGATGACCCGAACCAAGAGAGATCGCGCTACTGTGACGGTTGAGAGTAAGACAAGGACAACCGTATTCGAGCAGCTTCGGGCATCTCCGTCGACAGTTCTGGAACGTTCGGGATCATTCTGCTCCGTACGTGGGCCGAGTATATAAGCGAACGGACGCGTTGTCACGTAACTGTTCGTACTTTTCTGCTCGGTGTGTCCGTACGTGTGTAGTTTAGTAGCGATATTTCGCGCAGTGTTGTGATAAGTGCTACAGCTTGGGCTATTGTGGATTATCTCTTTCTTCGTCTGAAACATTCCTGGTGAGTATATTTAACGTGTTTGTGGATGTAGAAATAGTGCCAAGAAGCAAAGGGTTTTGAAATCCCGTGAGTGACCAAATTTGGCAACGAGTCCGACCGACCCTGAATCACCAGAGCTCTTTTAGATGTATTCAGACGATTCCGACCTAGTATTCGGGAACTCTGGTCCTTTCTCTTCAGCTACCTGAAATGTACTTTCAATGAATTAAAAGATGATGAATTGAACCTACACTCATTTGTGTAAGATCTGCTGAGTCCTCTTTCCTAGGAGTTCTAGTAAAATCTCTGATACCTTCAAGTTGTCTTGTGATTAGGTAAATTTTGCTTGCTTGGGGTCTAGTAGTTTATGACATTTTGAATTGGGTTAGCAACCAAGAACCTGGGATATGGTGAAATGCCCAGGCCAGTTTCCTCGTTGCCAGATTTTATTTCATGACAAGCTGTCCGGGGTAAAATTCCTTTCATTTTCATTATTAAAAATATGCCATTTTATTGTCAATCAATAGTTTTGTTTGTCACAATTCATGTAACATTTCCCCCTTGTATAGATGGATATCAGTTAAACTGGAAATTTATTCTGTCAGTGTCATTGACTAGCATCTCTATTCTTGATACTTTCATTACTGTGGAAACACTAAGTTCTTTCAAGGGAAATGTTTCTGATTTATCTGTATCCTTAATTTGGTTTCATCTCAGTCAATAAGTTAAGCTTAAATTGTAAATAAATTAAATCAATTCTCAACTTGTTTACCTCTGTCCTCCATTCCTTTTCCATTTTGGTCTGACACTGTACTTCAACTATCATTGTTGCCTAGCAATGTGTGGGCTTTGCAATGGGTAGGTCTCATTTTTGGCCATTATCATTTTTAAATTACTTGAAATTAGACTGTATCTTTCTGAAATGGACACTGTCATACTGTTTACCATATAATATCTGTATTGATGAATTATCAAAATGCATAATCCATTCAAACCATCCTATTATAACTTTTATTCCAACCATGACAGCTATCCGGGTTATAATTATAATCATTTCAATTGCCATAATTATTTTAACTATCATAATTATTATCAATATGGTCCAGCAATTAATTATTATGGTATGCCTAAGACTCTGTCTTCCACAGAGTTCATAAGTTTCTAATGACATTATTTTTAACAATTTATCCTCTCCTTGTTTCAGTTCGAGGCGCCATGGGGAAAGACTACTACAAAATCCTTGGTGTTGCCAAGAATGCTGCTGATGACGACATAAAGAAAGCTTACCGTAAACTGGCACTAAAGTATCACCCAGACAAAAACAAGACTGCTAGTGCTGAAGAACGCTTCAAGGAAGTAGCTGAGGCTTATGAAGTTCTCAGTGATAAAAAGAAGCGAGAAGTGTACGACCAATATGGTGAAGAGGGATTGAAGGGTGGAGCTGGAGGCATGGGTGGTGGTGGCAGTGGAGCTCAAGGAGGATTCTCTTACTCATACCATGGTGATCCTAGAGCAACATTTGCTCAATTCTTTGGAGCCAGCAGCCCATTCCAAACTTTCTTTGATCTGGGCGGATCAGGTGGAAATAGAATGTTTTTCCATGAAGATGACATGGACATGGATATGGATCCCTTCTCTTCAATAGGCATCGGAGGCAACCGACCTGGTGGCCCTGGAGGTGCCTTCAGATCTCATTCATTCAACATCCATGGGAACCAAGCAAGGAATGCAAAAGACAAAATGCAGGATCCTCCCATTGAACATGATCTATATGTCACTCTTGAAGACATTTTGAAAGGCTGCACCAAGAAAATGAAGATTTCCAGAAGAGTCCTCCAGCCTGATGGATCATCAAGAAAAGAAGATAAAGTCTTGACTATCAGTGTCAAACCTGGCTGGAAAGCTGGCACAAAGATAACGTTCCAGAAAGAGGGAGATCAAGCAAGAAACAAGATCCCTGCAGACATTGTCTTCATCATCAGGGATAAGCCTCATCCTCAGTTCAAGCGGGAAGGATCTGACATCAGATACACAGCTAAAATATCTCTTAAAGAGGTGTGTATGAACATTATTTATTTGAAGTTTTTTCCTTTTTCTCAACTGTTTTACTCTTGGACACATGTACTAACATTCTCATTTTCTCTTTACAGGCACTCTGTGGTATCAGGATAGAAGTACCAACCCTGACTGGAGAGAGGATCCCTGTGAATCTTACTCACGAAATCATCAAACCAACCACAGTGAAGAGAATCCAAGGTTATGGACTGCCTTTCCCTAAAGAGCCAACCCGCAAAGGAGATCTTCTGGTTTCCTTTGATATTCAGTTCCCCGACAATTTATGTCAAAGTGCCAAAGACATCCTATTTGATGCTCTCCCTTGAGCTGGATTATTGATATCTTTAAGTGTCATGTTGCCCCCTGCATTGCTGTAACTCAGTACTTTGAACAATACAAGGCCAAGTGATGTGAGGCATAATTGAAATTTTATTTTGTGATCTTTATATTTGTTTCTGGCATTATTTTTTTTTTAAACAGTACTCTATACATGCGAAAGTTGACCCACCATAAGACTTGCTTTAGAGTTCAAGCTAATTTGTATCATTAAGTGACTTGTTATTTTGTTCCATTTCTTCTTTGTTTAATTTGGGGCGCACAACCAGACTGGTGACACTTCAAATGTATGAGACACGATTCTAATGGCTGTGATAGTTAAAATATTTTGTGTGTATGGGGTAGTATTTATGTGAAATAGGTAGTCTAAAAGCAATTGTTAGTCATTTTGCTGTTATAGTTAAAATGTGGTACTGGCTAGTTGGTTGAGTTCAACCTTGTATGTCAAGAGTGGGCAGCTGTTTACCTCTACCTGTATACCCTTAAAAGTGGAAAATGTTTGGTATTTTGTTGGTCATCTCTATCCTTGGTCTTGTTTAAGTTTCCTAATGTTCATTGTATGCCCTTTTCATGGGATTAGGTAACAGTTGTACAGGTTCCTGTAAGAGAGTAAGTGGTCACATGACCAATTTGGAGAAAGTTTGGTAAAGTGTATTGTGGGCCTCGCATTTGAGGACTGTCAGCACTGGTGGAGGAGGTAGGGCATATTGAATCAAGGAAGGATTGTTAAGACTGAGATCATTTGCTACCTCAGCTACAGGCTACAAAAGAGAGATGATGCAGCCATTTGATTACTAATTGATTCCTAGGTTTGACATCAACCGTAGCCATGATTTGATGTAATTTAGAGGATCTAAGGTGTTTGAGAAAATAGTCATTAAGGAGGATTGTCAGCTACCAGCTTGACATAAAAGGATTGAATTTAACTCAGCATCACATGTGTCAGTGACTGCACGTTTTAGTGCAGGTTGGTACAAGATGTTTTGACTCTGTTAAATATCATCCCCAAGTGTTTTACCATTGTAAATATTTCTTAAATCATTTGTAT